TTGCGTGAACGTGGTGTCCTACCTGGCATCAAGGTTGATCTTGGTGTCGTTCCTCTTGGCGGTACCGCCGATGAGTGCACTACCCAAGGTTTAGACAATCTAGCTCAGCGTTGCGCTCAGTATTACAAGGATGGCTGTCGCTTTGCCAAGTGGCGCTGCGTCCTCAAGATCTCCTCGCATAATCCATCCTACCTCGCCATGCTTGAGAATGCCAATGTTCTTGCTCGTTACGCTTCCATCTGTCAGCAAGTGGGTGACTTGTACTTTTCCATTTCCAGTTTGTCTTTATTTCGTTCAGCAAGTTTTTTGATAATGCTTAGAACGGTCTCGTGCCGATTGTGGAGCCGGAGGTTCTTCCTGATGGTGACCATGATCTGGAGACTGCTCAGCGTGTGACTGAGCAGGTGCTCTCCTTCGTCTATAAAGCTCTTGCTGATCATCATGTTTACCTTGAGGGTACTCTCTTGAAGCCCAACATGGTAACCTGCGGCCAAAGCTGCACCAAGAAATACTCTGTGGAAGAAAACGCTCGTGCCACTGTTGAAGCTCTCCAACGCACCGTGCCCGTTTCTGTCCCTGGTTAGTCACCCCCCTCTCATTTGAATACTTTTAAGAGTTTACGAATTCACCTGTGTTGTTTATATAGGTGTTGTCTTCCTATCGGGCGGTCAGTCTGAGTTGGACGCTACAAGAAACCTAAATGCCATCAATAAGTATCCAGGCAAAAAACCATGGGCTCTTACGTTCAGCTTTGGTCGTGCTCTGCAAGCTTCAGCCATCGCTGCTTGGCAAGGAAAGCCCGAAAACGTAAAAGCTGGCCAGACTGAATTCCTGCAGTTAGCTAAAGCCAATGGCGCTGCCAGTTTGGGCAAGTTTGAGGGCGATTTGAAGACCGCCGCTGGTCAGAAGTCGCTATTTGTGGCCAATCACGCCTACTAGACTCGAGTTTGCCATTTCTTCACCATACATACATCCATTGATCCACTGCGTTTGTACTTTGCATGCGCGTGTTTCCTCCACTACACCCTTTCTCAACAAATCTGTCGCGGACATACCAAAACTAATACTGCTTCTTGTTATGACTACTTTTTGTCTCTGCCTTCATGTATCATTGAAAATAAATTGCTGGTCACCTTGCGGTCGAACATTCTT